AAATCTTGCAGAAACACGTTTTTTTATACTTCCTACTAGGAACTATGAATTATCGTTATAAGACATCATCTGGAAATTTTCAAGCAAATTTGGAGGCCTCAGTAGGAGACGTTAAGTGTTAGGAATGCCCGTTTAGACGTCTGCTCAGCGTATTCTCTTTTAGAGGTGACATACAAAGCAAATACTGTTAAATGTTAAATTGTTCAAAGAGTTGTGATTTAAACGTTGGCTTGTATCGTTCATTAGATTTAATAATTAATTGTTAATCAACGATATTTTGGGCTTGTACTGGAACTTTTGGACTACTTATCAAGCATATCAATTTGCTGTTTTCGAAAGCGCGCTGGCTCGCTACCATACGTAGTTTGAGACCGCGAGTTTTTTATAAACTAAAATCAGAGAATTATTGCTTGTTTGGAAAGAGATCCAGGCATAAAGCAAGTAGTCATCGGGTGTCACCTATCTGGCGAATACGAAGAGTAATATAACACAGGTTTTCAATCAAGACTCTGCAAGCTCTACGGGTCCTCCATCTGTCAAATGCCTCTCCTCGGCCTTGCGCAATGAAGTCCTATCCTTTTGAGTGGTACTGTCCGGTTCCAAAAAAAACTTGCTGATTAGCGTATACAATAGCTAGTGCCACCGCATAGCAAGAACACATCTCCAGACAGCGGTCATCGCTAGCTTGAAGGTTCTCGCTTTTTGAGAACTATTATCAGAACTTCTTGAACAACCTAATATTTATTCTCACAAGAATCCTGAACTTCTTCTTGATGAACCAGAATTCCGGTAAAGTACAGCAATTTTTGAGAAAACAATCTCAAATAATCACTTAACGCTTCAAGGTTTTCTTTCAATTTCCAAATTCAGGTAAGATTCGCCAAAGATTCAAGGTGAATTCGCATATCAATGGCGACGGCAAAATCTATCGCTACGCTTGTCTCCCTAGTGTAGAGTTGTGACTGAAATGTAAGTAGAATATGGTGTCATGACTTGCTAAAATCATTGCTTTGGAACGTTCCCCTTCCACATTCTTTTTCGAGGAGAACAATGTTTTCCAAAGACTAGAAGCTAACGAAAATGCAAGAAAAGGTATCAGCAAGAGTAGCGCAATCGCCTTCGAATCTTTAAAGAAAGGTTAATCGAAAATTATGAGAGTGTATTTACAATATACTCCCAAACTCGCGAACTACAGCCATGAGGTGTTGTCCATTCTCGATTTTCAGGATTCTTTCACAATTTGCGGAATCTGCGAATTTGTTCATAACTTAGTATTTATATACTTGTAATCCGCAAGCAGATTTGCAGCTTGACAAGACGATAAGACGTTTTTGATGTGTATTGGAGTAAACCGTCGGGGTTCGGTCGATTTACGGTGGGGCATTGTTTTAGATCAAAACTTCGTATCGCGAGTGTGTTATTGTATGCTGGGAAAATTTTGTGCCAGTTTCTTTCTTTGTCATTGCCATTACCATGACCACAAAATGAACATATGGTGATGTATGGCATCTGCCTCAGCTGTCTCAATTTTTTTCCTCCAACATTGATAAGTCGCTGTGGGTCCTTTAATATGTTTTGTTAGCCAAATGTTGCAGAAAACCTAACAGTCGACCAACTTTTGCACACATATTGCGCACAATTTGCGGAAGCTGCGGCAGAAAGAAGGTTGTCTTGATTGATATCTGAGAACAGATCTTACGTAACAGCACGTTATTAGGAGCAGGTGCTGTACAGCGACATTGACGGTAATGGAAGTCGACTTACTGTACCAGGAGAGAGAAAGTTGACAGAAACTCCAAACTCTAAAAGCGATTTGAACCATTTGATGATGGCTGAACAAAATATTGCATTCATAAATAAATGCACAAAGTAATTGCCATCTAGCATGGGAAGAAGTTTCTTGTGTTGAGTACTCGTAGATGCATTAAGTTTATCCTAGATATTCAGCGAGTTCCATAAAAGCTTGCAAATCGATCTCAAATAAATCGATAGATACAAAGAAAACAGGAATTTTTTTTTGAGCTCCGTTTCGTTTCTTAAGCAGAACGTAGAGACTGCAATTCCAGCCCTGCGGAGATGCCATGGTCACTAATGAGAGGACGTAGAAATTGTCCAGATTTAGTTAGAAAGTCAATAAGACGAATTCTTTACTGGAAAGGTGCGAAGCAAGTTTTCGCTCAATTAAAGATCATTCAGAGCTCTTCAGAGTATTCCACGCATGTTATAGCATGCTAATGGGCAATTTGACTTAATATTTGAACATCTGGTTCTCGTTATGAATAATTATGGGTTCGGTAACTATTTATTTTTGTCATTTGAAACCAACTGTAAGCCTTGTTTTTGTTAGGAGGTCATTAAGCAGACAATTAAGAAGCACAATTTTCCATTCTTAAACAAGTATAAACCAACGCTGTGGCAGTGATATACAGATCAAAAATTGTTCTTTTATATTTAGATGGCCATTGCTGACTGAAATATTTTTTATCATAGGGGTTATACCTAAAGTGCAAGATGAATTTTTATTATAAAATTTGTTGAATTATTTGTATAAGCAATTGTTGCACTGCATACATAGCCTGTCAACTTAAGAAGCTTGCAGAAGATCATTCTCAATTTTTGAATTTTGTCTTACATAGAAATTTTATTTTTACGTTAAATTTAGAGAAGCCTGAACCAAGGTTGCAGTCATTCAGACTTGGTATGCTCACACTATTTGTGCAGTTCAAGGGAGAGCCATTACAACATACACCAGAACGGTGGTTCAGTTAGATTTGTTAATACACTTATTAGAATACCAGTGCTTCACCTCTGCTTCGCAGAGGCTCGCACTGGCCATCAAGAAACTATGTTAAACTTACGATGTGAAGGCTTTCTTTTAGATTATTGCCAGGTTGACTGCGGTGAGAGAGTCCTAATTAAAAATGAACCATACTCGCTATCAGAGCCTCACATGCTGCAAACTAATGTAAATCAATCTTCAATTTTCGTAACAGATAGACTTACAGACCGACAAATAAGCGGCTTATTATAAGTCATGATTAACTGAAGTCGTAACCTAAGAACGGTCTGCTCTCCAATGAGCGTAAGCAGTGCTTAGAAGTGCAGCGCTCTTTGTGTGTGCGGATATGCGAGTGAGCTGTGTAACATTTGTTTAAAGAAGCCGGGCTCAATCTAGGCGACCGGTCCCACTTCATCGCTAGGAACACCACCGCAAGATTTTGCAGCATTGTGGCATTCACGACTGCTGTGCACTTTTATTTGATTAGCTGAAGCATTGTGACTATTTTTGAAATGATTTTTGTGAGAGTGCGAGAACGTCAACATCTTACTCATTTTTTTGGGAGCATTATTTTTCTCGATGTTTAGCATATCTATTTCTTTTTTTTAGCCCAGAACTTTGTCGTCTCAACATTTGTCACCTTTGGTATTTTTCTTCTATTCTTTTGTTGAGACTACCACAAATCACAACTATTTTCATCCTTTATGATACATTCTTTGTTTGTGTTGAAGATGTTGAGCGAGCTTACATTAATCAAGATTGAATCACACTTTCAAAGGAATCCAGAATGCTTTTACCTACGAGAATCAGCGAAAAAAGTGCGATAGCTCCTATGATTCTCTGTGCTTGTTGAATCATTTATAACAAAATTTTCGCGAACATGCTTCTTCTGTATGTAATACATATCGAATTGCTGTTTCTCCTATATTTCAGCAATGACACCCGCTCCTAGGCCTGTGCTTCCCGATGAAAAGGAGATGGCGAAAATGCAGGCGAAAGTAGTGGTAAGCAGAACTATTACATCTGATGTAAACTAGTTTACTATTCCAAGACAAGAGTTTTGGAAGCTCTACTCTTTACCATTTCCTCTACAGACGTTTCAGTTTCTTTTTTTTATCGATGTGATTTTACTTTTTCTTGCTTTGAGAGACGCGTTCCTCTCCACTGGATACTCCTCGTTTGATTGTTTAACCTCTTGAAACTGCTGAATTATGAGTTCAGCCTCGAACAACTCTGGAAATTTTTTTGATAGTACTAACTTTTGAGCGAAAGTTGACACGTATAATACTAGATAAAGGTGTTGAAATCTTCAAAATGGCGATCAAAGTTTCCTTGCATAATATTAATCATTTATTTATTTTATCACTACACAGAAACCCGCTGAATCTTTTATCAAATTATAATTTCAAACAATCAATATTAGGTTATATTGACATCTGATTTCTTCAATGTTGCTTCTTTCATGTTATCGACAAAGGATTAGTATAATACCGCACAAGATGTATGCATTGTACTTTTATCAAAAAAAAAGATGTATTTGACACCAACTTGGACAAACCTTGATTAGTGAACACATTTTCTAACTGCAGTAGAAGCTATCACCACAAGCGAACGCCACAACGACAAATGAGCAGTTCACGTGCGATAAAAAAAGTGACGCAAACAGTTGTTAGGGACGAAATGCTCTTGTAAATGATTGGAAGCGAAAATTATGAAAGTGCTGTATTTGGAGCTAATTAATGAAGATTCGAGTATCAAATTTCGGAACTCAAAACCTTTCAAATCTCAATCAAATATACTTCAAAAACTTTTTTACTTGCATCGGTACAACAATAAGCAACAATTGATAACTGATTCAACCTTTGATCGGTTTATCAAATGTTTCCCTTCAAGCATAGCAGTTTCTTTTCAGATTTTTGATCATCCATTCGCTTACCAAGTCCTCAATCCAAAGACTGAGGAGTTTTGTTCATACTGTATGCGGGCGCCTGTAAAAGGCGAACACTTGGCCAAATGTGCAGCGTAGGTTTGCTTATTCATATTGGTACTTCAGCCATGGAGCATTCTTTTTTCAGATGTGATTTTGTTCGATACTGTAGTAAAGATTGTCAGCGACTGGCATGGAAGGTTCACAGGCCAGAGTGCAGACGGTTAAAAGCAGTAAGTTAGAGAATTTTTCTTCGATTTATTACCTAATGCTTATTTGATTTAATGATTGCAGGTCTTTCCAAATCTTCCACTTACTGAGGTTTTGTTTCTGTCAAAAATTATCGATCGGGTAATATTTCTTGCGATGTATGGTGACAAATTTGGCTGGGAACGAGAGAGGAAGTTTTCATCGTTAATGGATCATAAGGAGGAAATTAGGTACGGATAGGTTACTAGCAATTCCTAAGCGTTCATATGCTCAATTGCGCTCTGTAAGAGCGAATTAGTTGATCTCAGCCGTAATATGTGTTGCACCAAAACATGTTCACCTACGAAATCTCTGAATTGCTGAAGTGGGCCCCTAAGAGGTAAAAATAAAAGTCCTCCAGTTACTCTTCCAAGCTCAAAAGCCGCTCTATATAATCCTTATGAAAACGCATTGTTAAACAATAGGTACAAAATAGCCGTGCAATCGAAAAGATTGCATCGGCCGGGAATCGAACCCGGGCCGCCCGCGTGGCAGGCGAGCATTCTACCACTGAACCACCGATGCTACAGACATTTTTATTAAGGAACCTTTGGTCTATCAGACTCTGCAAGCGTGATACTACTTGTTTCAGGGCAGACAAAGCTAAAATGGACCGTTTCGCAAATGTACACAAGAAAATGGAACTGTTTCGTAAAGATGAAATGATTGATAAGGTGAGAGATTGCTTCCAAAAATAGCTACTCCTAGCCCTAATAGTGCCTGCATATGCTTTTACAAGACTATTCAAGAAATTTGGATGTATATACTCTAACTACTTCAGGAGGAATTCTTTGATATTTTCTGCAAAGCGTCCATAAATTCACATAGTATCCACACAAATGCGGGAACAGAAATTGGCATGGCACTTGATTTAGGTTTGCATTATCAACTATTTAATTCTAGATTCTTCAAAATTTTTGTGACTGTTCAATTGCGTGAGTCGCGCTTGGATAGCATTCTTTGCTTCTATCGACATACGTACCAAAATACTCAGTCAATGTTTATTTTCCAGGTGTATCCAGATATAATCATTCTTGTCGACCGACATGTTCTATGGTGTTTGATGGCTTTCGGTGAGTGTAATTCATTTTTTCAAAGAAAGATATGTCTTGTTTATTGAGCCGAACAGTCGGATGATTGCCAGTCAAAATCGGGAAATTTTGAAAATTTATATTTGTTTTTGTAAAGTTACTTTGAGACGCAGTTTGTGAATATGGTCAAGATATCGTGATATAATGTCTCGTCATGTGGGTTGTACAGACAGAACCTACAAAGTGGATAGTGTTAAAAAATCACAGAAGCTGTAAGACTTCGGAAATGAGCTTGCGAGAAGGTTCGACTGAGTCTTATCCTAAAGAGCCGGGCATACTTCACGCGATTCCAGTCGCGACACGAATTGGCAATATTCCAACTCTCCATAACTCAGTAAGCACATTTTCAATGTACAGAAGATAGGGCATTTTGTCAATCCACGTAAGTTGTACACATTATTGCACTTTGCTAGTGTTGGATCTGAAGACTTTTGGCGAATTGCCAAATCGCGTGAAGTATGCTCGGTTTGAGTCCTCGATATCGCCGAAAACTCGTTGTTGTTAGTACAACTATATAATCAAAGCAAATCCCTCACTAAGGATATTGAAAAGAGTCAATTAGACACTGAAAAAAAAAGATGTGATGATCAGGAATTTTACAGTCATGGATTTTTTTGTTTCTGCGCTAAAAATCAGCTAAATAGTGAAATTCAAAACATGAAGCTCATTATTTTTTCTCTTCGGTACACCTTTGACCCAAACTGGGCCACTTAGCAAATTTTGAACTCTTTCGACTTTGAAGGTTTGTTGCAGGGTATGCCTTCGACCTCTACTCCCGGGTTTAGATGCAAAGGATATAACAAAAGCTTTCATCTCATATTGTGATGTAGGTAGAAGCAAATATGTACGAAGGAAGGATCTCAAGGTGATGCGTTTACTTTGTATGTATATACTTTAGGAGTGACGCATTGATTTCTTCTTACTTCTTACTAGCATTATTATTTATAATTGAACTCATGATAGAGTTGCTGTCTGTCGCATTTCCAAAGAAACTTCAACTTACAATTAGTATAGCATTTTAGGTGCAAAATTGAAGCCTTCAAAATTTCAGCAAGGCGAAAATAACCCAAGGAAAATATATGAAAATCATTGGAAAATGTTATGAGTTCGGTATTTCCATGTCTAGAATGTTTTTGAAACAGAAACCTTTTGGGATCCAAAATTGACAATGAGTTGAACTGAAATTGCTAACGTTTTTTTGATTTCATGCCTACCCTAAATTTTTGATTTTTTCTAAGTTTTTAGGCCTATCCTAGATTTTATGTGCTGAAATAGAACAAAATAAAATGAAGGTTCTTTTTTTGAACTTTCGTGACTAGTTAGCCTCATTTCAAGTTCAAATGCTGCAAAATTCCGAACATCTGCTCCAGGCCCGATGGTACTTCGACTGTGAGTGCTCCCGCTGTGTTGATCCGGCCGATGACATGCTGACCGCCATCAAATGTTCCACACCAGGATGTCCGGAACCATTAGTTGGGGGGAAACAAGAATTTCGAAGCGAAAAACGTTTATTCTATATTTCCAGATAACTTCGGAGACTGCCGAACCCTGCTATATTGCTTGTCCGAAGTGTCGTGCAATAACAGACGATAGCACTGTGAAAGAGGCTCAAGAATTGATGAAGAGCCTCCCTGCCTCATTCGATCCCAAGTGTCCTCCAGAAAAGGTAATGAATTTTCCAAATTCTTATATACAGGGTGTCCCAAAAAAATGTGCCTACTGTTTGATTGTAAATAACTCTCTTATAATGAAGTGTTTCGAGAAGCTTTAGGTACCTTTTTGTAGAGCGAGGTTAAACTTAGATTTGCTGTATAAAGCGAATCATCGATCGCTCTTCATTACTGTATAATTACGGTACGAACTTCGACAAGGATTTTAGGCCGCTGGAGGCTATAGTCTGCCTCGAAACAAGACCAAACAAGCCAAAAACCCTTATACTACGGTAATGGGAGCTGCTGTTTCCGAATTTGATATTCCCATTTTACTGTGGTGCTTCTTTCCAAAGTTATCCCCTGTAATTCGTTATCAGTCAATTTCCAGCATTTGTCACAAATGTAATTACACCGTCAAAAAGCTGAAAACACTTGTAAAAAGTTGTTAGCTGGAATTAGCATGCGCGAAAACCTTAGTACACAATTTTTCAGATTTTTTGGAAAAAATTTCACTGGGTGGTATATTTCACAATGGTTCCATATGCTGGAAGTTCTTACCATAATCCTACAGTAATGAAGAGCGATCGATGATTCGTTCCGTACAGTAAATCTAAGTTTAACCTCGCTCTACAAAATGGTACCTAAAGCTTTTCGAAAGACTTCGTTACAACAGAGTTATTAACAATCAAACAGTAGGCACATTTTTTGGGACACCCTGTATAGTGGAAACCAACCAGAAATGCAAAATGAGTTAGATACAAATTTTGCGCTTTTGTGCTTTGTATCTGCCCCTCTTGTAAATATCAAGGCTTGAAGGAATTTTATGTGGCTTAACAAAAGATGCTTTGAAAGTCAATTAGCTCGTGGTAATATGTAACGTACTGGAATTTCCTCAAAGGAAATTCTCATGCTGCTATGTATATGTCAAATAGTTTCATGAGCTATTGTCCTTAGCCCAATTCTGGAACTTGTCTTCTTATTGACGAAATCTTGCAATAAGTAACTGGAAATCGATTCTGTGTCTGCGAGCTAACTCGACCTTAAGGGGGGGGGGAGTTAATCAGCCTGTATCAGAGTTGGTAATTCGAGTTCAGTGACACACCACAGTTCTCATTGCTCTTGAATTTCAAAATAAATTTGAAATTATCTAGAATTTTCGTGAATCTGAGCTAAATAATCACTGAATGCTTTGTGCAAAAGTTTTTTTTTGATTTTTTGGGACATCCTCTAAATCACAAACTTGCCAGGAATCCGACGTATTCGTAAATCCATGAAAGTTATGATCGGATAACTTGATGCAGTGCGACGTTTTGGACAAATACGTCGCGAGATCTCAAATAAAAGCATTTCCAAAGTTTAACAAACGTTCTAGATATCTGGATTTTCAGCAATCTAATGTTCTTATCTTCTTTTGAAAACTGCTTTAGAAATTATAGCATTCATACGGGTTTTTTTTTCGCGATAAATACGCGGCGACGGAAAAATTAATCGCGATTAAATTTTTTCACGAGAACCAGGAGCGCAACTTCTACAAACTTTGGACAAGAATGGTTGAGCTTTCTTCTAGCTTCATTTGCTCAAGAGAGCAACTCTCTATCAGTAGGCTTTCAGAGTCCCCAGCTTCCAGCTTTTGGTTTTGAGTTTCGTGAACGATCTTCGACTCGCTTTTGATTTGTGAATGACATGAAGCGAGTCCAGGCGCGAAAAATTACACAGCCAACTTGAAATATGGGTTCTAAGCAATCTGAGCCTTACTACATCCCGAACGTAACCGCTGCGAACCCTTACAGAAATCAAATTTTAATCTATGGAAATTTGAGGGTGGAATGGAGGAATGTTTGTGTATTATGCACTTCCAACCGGAGTTCTTTCGAATAATGCGAAATCTTTCACTCATATCGGAGACGGGGAAGATAAATCAGACCATTTCGGTCTAATTGAGACTTCCACCTACAATTTAAGGTTATTCGCAAACTCCGTCTCAAATGCGAAACTTGTTTGGAATCGTGTATACTTGCGTAGAAAAATGGACTTTATAAACCGTCAACGTTTTCGTATTACTTTTAGTTCTGATACTCTGAGTCAACTGGTCTAATAAAAATGTTCTAGCGTTATTATTCCACTCACCGAAAATGTTCAATTCACTTTACCTTTTACTCCCACTTCGCTTCTCTCTCACCTCTTCCCTAAGCCCCCGGACAGACTTCACGCGATTTGATCGTCGCGATTCAGTCGCCGAGATTTCCATTCATTTTCATTTCACATTGAAAAATTTCGGGCTGGAAAAGTATCACAACCGAAATGCAAGTTGATCGGCATGGAATGATGTTGTGACAGTTGTCTCGTCGCGATTTAGTCGCGACGATCAAATCGCGTGAAGTCTGTCCGGGGCCTAACACCGATCCAAACCTTGAAGCCCTAAATCCTGATACATATGAATTGCAGGTTCGTGAACTCCTGGACAAAGCTCAAAAAATCCTACACCCAAGTAATGTCTACGTATGCCGGTTACAAACCGCTCTGTTCCATTTGACCGGCAAACTCGACTCAAATTTCGGCATGCTACATAAACAGATTTACGAAAACTACAAACTGTAAGTGTTTTTCTTTCACATTTTTGATAAATTTGTATATTAGAAGTGGTGTTCTAGATGTTTTCCGGAAGCAGATCGTCATGTAGGCTATCAATTACTGCACATTGTCAAAGATCTTATCGAAAAGGGCAAGCGACAGGAGGTTAGATTTCTAGTCGCCACAATTAACGAGCTTTTAATGATGATTGGATTAGTGAAAATATGATGAAGATCCGTTTGAAAATAAAATAACTGAAGACAGAAAATGTGTCACTCCAGTATGCAAGTTTCTGCTACCAAAAAACTTTTTTGCAGCTATGCAGTAGAATAAGCAGAGTTTCATTCGAAATTTTTCTAATGGTGGTAGATTATTAGGCTTTTCGGAAATATGCCCGTTCTACAATGTTTCAGTTTGGAGTGTCATAATCCCTTCAAAGGATCGTATTTCAAGATGCGGTAAAAACTACTGAGGGTACCCTTACCTATCTAATGATTATTCACTTGTCCTATTAGCTCCAAAAGAAAATTCAGAGTGAACCAAAAAAAAACAGAAAAAAATTTCTTGAAGCAACGTTCCCTTAGGCAAATTGTAGCTCCTTGAGAGACAAAAAATTTCGGGATCAATTGTCCATTTTTCGACCTTTTCTGAAGGGCTATGACTCAAGAAACACTGAACTTCTTAGTTTTCCACTGACAGTAAAGACTGAGAAGTCTCAACTAAATTAGCCACTGTGAGCTCTGATGTTACTTTTAAAGCCTAACATTCGCGATTGCTTTATTCATTCTCAGAAACATTTGTAGTCCATTGAATGGCCCCGACACTTGACCATGTTTGGATTTTAATAACTCTGCTCCCTTGATAGTTGAAAGGAAGCCTTATTGCGTATTTAGTACGTCCGTTCAGCATCTTATGTTACATAGCTATCTCATGGAGATATCTTCCTTGACAAACGAGTTGGCTTTAAAAAAGTGTGTGAAGAAAATTTTACAATTTGCAACTTTCTCTATACCTGTTAGGAAATTCTGAAAAGACGAAACAACGAAGCAAAACATGTTAGAGAAAGTGTGAATAGCGCCTTCAGATAGCATGCAAAGCTGGTCGCAAGAAGAGCACTAACAGGAGAACGGTTAATTTGAAAATGCACCTGCAAAAATGGGCATTAGATTCCTGACAACCTGGATTCCTGACACACTAGTATCAGTCTTCATATGGGTTTGATCTATAAGTGCTGCAGCAAAATTGGAGAAGTAATGGTGATTCATAAATTCAGAAAATATATTTGATTTACTATATTTTGGGGTTTGAAAATGAAATCTTCTTTGGCACATAGCTGCAGTGATAAACAAAAACCCTCAAAAGGTATTTTTTATTCATTAGGTATTTTTTTAATTTACCACTAATCTGAGAACACCTAAATACAACGCTTATAGTGTTGCATCTACACTTCCCAACTAAGAGAAGTTAGTGCAGTCTACAATTTTATAGTTTCGAGTTTTATTCGACTTTTGTTTTTGTTTCTAAAAATTTTGATATGCATTATAAATTGTTTGTACATAACAAAAAAATCTGGTTCATATCTAAAAGTTTCTAGATATTAGGGAAACTCATAATTTTTGTTGCAAGACTTGTAGACTATCCTGATATTTGTCTAGATGTAAAAAAAGTCAATTTAGGATGTAGTTTTTCAAATTACTAACTTTGACTGTCGAGTCTTAATTATAAACTTGTTTCTTTTTGCTTTCCTTACTCCTTTTTGATGATTTTTCAAACTCTGTTTATTTGTTGATTTTCAGGCTGTAGTCTACGCATTCGATGCTATGAACATTTTCGAAGTCTGTTTTGGTCTCGATCACCCCTACTTCCTCCAAATTCTCGCCCTCTGGACCTATCTGGACACGAACGCCGACAAAACAGATGCGGAGCTCATCGCGCTGACGAACTTCTCCGATAATCGCCCCGTTGACATTGTGAAAGTGCTCGAAAACGCGCATATGTTGCCGTCCGAGGCCGAAGTCGAGGCGAAGAAAAAAGAACTGAAGGCCTAGAGATCTATCAATTGCAGCAGAAATCGTACCTGATGAGAGACAGGGTTTTCAGAAAATAAATTATTATTATTTTCCATTGTGAGAACAATCCTGAAATGAGAATAACAGAAATTTGTGAAAAAGTTTGCAAGCGTCATGATGTATAAGGGCATTAATAAATCGTGACGATCGCGCGACCGCGTGCGACACGCACGCAATTCCGCAGTCGCATCTTCTTGGTTCTTTTCTATATTACGGTTTTTCTGCTCAATTATGATAGTATTTAGACACTGGCAGTGATTGAGCTGAGCGTTGAGGTCTTTTTGTATGTTTTTAGGCTCCTGTAGGCGCAAAGACCGCAGTCAAATCTCGTCACGATTTTATAAATGACCATACGTAGGTCTTTTCGCTATTGTGTGCAACTGCACACTTTGCGAGTTCTAAAATGGGAGGCTTCTAGAAGAAAAGGTGCATGAAATCTATCACTTATACCTCTTCAAAATAATCAGGTGAACAACAATGAGTATCAAGTAGGAACGCAAGAAAAACGCCCCATGGCCGATCTCATCCTGTAGGATGTGCAATCGCACAACTCAGCAAGAAAGCTTTGGATATGATGGATTGGCATGCATCCCGAAAGCAGTCTAAATCTTACAGTATTCTTTTTCCCTTAAGTAACCTAAATGTTATAGTATTCTTTTCCACGAATAATGTCACAGCTTTTTTCCTGAGAAAACTCGAACGATTACTGATATTCTTGAAGCTAGACAAGCTTCGACTCCCTCAAGCGAAAAGCAATCTAAATCAAAGCAAGAGGCGAAGGAGCATAAAAAAATCCATGTCACAAACATTATGGCAATCCCGCTAATAACATCGAGGCAAGCTTTTTCCTACTTCAGTCTTTTCTTTGACTGCATTGAGGCAAAGCTTCTTTTTGTCACCCCAATGTGCTCAAAAACTTCACTCAAATTGAGTGAAAAGCTGCATATAGAATCTGACTAGTTTTCCTCTATAAAAAGTATTGTAGATGCGAGGTCTACCTTATTAATAGGTATACTCAAAAGAAATGTTTCCAAGGTGAACTTCCTTTAGCAAGCACTTATTTTCTAAAACGAAAATGTTGATATTAAAGTGCTAGGAAATCTATTTTTTTCAAAGCTTTTCCTTGTCTTCAGAATCTCACAATGTAGGCTTGCGATTACGGGTGATCGAGATTATTACACGTATTGAGTCTGAAATTGTTTAATAGCATTTACTGATTTTTCCTTGATACCTGGTAGTGTATTTGGCAAAGTCTATGAAAGCTTTCGGAAGTTCTGGGTCTGCTCTATCAACTACAATGCGTCATTTCCTTTGTTTTTAGGATTCAGCAAAAAGTTAGAATTTAAGGCAAAAAATACGGAAAAATACGGAAGGGCAAGGAATTTATTTTACACAACTTTTATCCCTAGTTTCCATTCGTCAGTGACAAAATTGATACAACAAATCAACATCAATCAGATGCGGTTTAGTCATTGTGACATTCGTTTGTGTTTGCTTCTTTCTTTTCCTCCAGTTAATACTATTTTCGATGACTGGAGGAGTAAAATCACTTAACGACGTAGTCATCGCAAAGGCACAGTCCACCTTAGTTTGAGGGTCATGAGCTTTTGGCAGCTTATGATGGTAGGAACCCCCTATCACAACGACCAAAGTGAGAGAATCGCTTCGGAATAGCGAAGAAGCATGACGACCCCAAGTCGGGACCGCCCTCTCCAGTACTGCCCGCCCATCCGTCCGCTCCCACCCAATTACCGTTCCAGAATGCCGGCCTCTGGGTTCTCAGGAACGGGGATTGTCGGGGTTTTCGCGGGTTCTCGACTTCTTACTCGGAATGGCATGAGAAGGAACGATCAAAACATGGAAGTCGAGAATCTGGGTGGACGGTGCCTTTAGTCTTGCGCCGCCCAAACTTCAAATTCAATGAATTTATAACCGTAGACCGTTCATTCCGCCATTTCATTAGCTGTCGTTGACCATCCTCTCCCAAGAGTGTATTCATTACCTAACGTCGATATCGAAATGATGTCATAAACCTTCACTTTTACAAATCCAAAACTGTTTAGCGCTTCTGAGCAGCCGGAGCTATGTCCTCTTCTCATATACTTTGCGAATTTTGAAGCTGTTTTCGCATTCCGACTATTCAATATTCGACTTGATAAGTTCAGAAATGAATTATTCTCTCCCACGGTTTTTAGTTTGAAAACGTCAAAACTTTTCCATATTTTCTAATTTAGGAGATGAAGCAGGAGAGTGACGAACGACGATAGGACAGAAGTCTGCGCACATCTTACTGGACACCCTAGAAAATATTTTAGAAAATTGATTGACATTGAGGCAACGGGATTCTCCTTCTTATGCGAGAAACCTGATACAACAAGGTCAGGCTTCTTCACTGAGCTTCCTTGCTAGCTGCACAATACAAGGTCCGCACGTAAAGTGCAAGTCACACATCTGCTGCTATAAATACGACGAGGTGACAGAGAACAATTTCTTTTATGTGCGTGCATAACAAATTTATGTTATGCGACCATATTGTCGACGTTGCTACGGATGAACACAATGTCTTCACGTACTTTTCAATCTCTCATCCTTCTCCGCAATTCGATAAGCGAGATATGTAAAATCTTCTTTCCTTTCTCATGGTGAGAATACAGACAAAGCGTTTCCAAAAACTATCTAAAATGTTAATTTGAGGTCAAACCCTAGAATTAACTGAAATCTCGCTTCACTCTTAAAAAGCGGACTTATTTGTTTATCTGTTCCTACACTCCTTGCTGAAAATCTAAGAAATTAATTCCAAAGAAACTTTGAAAATGTATTAGGCACTAATGAACCAATAATTATGAGTGCTAGATTGCATCCGCGCGCTTCGGCCCCACACCGCGCCTTCCCGCTATTTGCAGATTTGCAGATTTTTGAATTGAGTTAACGATTCTTTATATATTAGGGTAG